GTGTTTTTAGCACTCACATTTGTATGTGTCAAGCCCTCCTCTGGAATGCTCTTCACCTAAGTCCCTCCCACGGAGACTTTTACACCCTGTCTGTGCTCCTGCGTCACCTCCCCAGCCACCCTTGTCCCACTCAGGGCTCCACTGTTCGCTGGGCTTACCCCTGCCCTGCTCTAAGGTGCGCTGGGCTAAGGAACACCTGTCCTGCTGTCTTAGCTGGTGTTGACCTCTCATTTCAGACTAATGCCTGGCCACACAGGATGGCCATTTGCCAGACTCTCCCACTCTCTTGCCCAGGGATGTTTTCCCTACATCTTGGTTCATCAGTGTGGCCAGATCAGCAACAGCTTTCAGCTCCATGCAGGGCTGCCTGGTTACAGACCAGTCACAACCTGGTGCCAGTAGGCAAGTCTCAGCCTTGTGTCCAGAAATCATGGTGCCTTTTTTCCTTATGAGTAGTGCATCGATTACGACTCTTATCTCACTCCCAGACACCTGGGTTATTGTGCATTTATCTAATGCTCTGTAATATTTAAAATACTTCCACCCTGTGTTTTGAACTAATCATCACAATCACCCCCACGGCCGTAGTGGACAATATTTTCCCCATTTTACAGATAAAGAAATACTCCATTTTTCATGCCACAGAGCCTTTACCACTGGCCACCTCCTCTGACATTTTTCTCCCTTGATTTCAAAATAAATAGTTAAATATTGGATGGTTCGTGCTAAGGACCGCATTGTGTTTGCCCCTCCAAATTTATATGTGGAAGCCCTAACTCCTAACATGACTGTATCTGGAGATAGGTAATTAAGGTCGGATGAGATGTTAAGGGTGGAGCCGGACAGGACTGGGCTTGTGACCTTGTAAGGAGAGGCCCCAGCGCGGCCCTCACCCGCTGCAGGCACCACCTGCACACACAGCAAGATGGCGGCCACCAGCCCGCCGGGAAGGAGGCTCCGGCGGGACACTGCTGACCATGTGCCGGCTTCCAGCCTCCAGCACTAGAAGAAAAATACATACACTGTTTTTAAGCCACCCAGCCTGTGCTATTTGCTTATGGCAGCCTGAGCTGACAGGTTGTAATCTTAGATAATAAATAATTTTGAACATTTTGAAGAGAAGCAGCCACACGAGATAAATTTTGGTTCTGTTTTTACTAATTCATAATAGTTCTCCTTGTATCATTGCTCTTAGATTGGAACCACATTTTTCCATCCAAAGACTCAGCTGGCTTCTAAAGCCCTCCAATTCCTAACTGTTACTTTATCCCCGAGCTCTGCCGCAGGGAAACAGTGTAACGAGAGTGTAACACTTATGTAACAGCCGAAAAGCGTAACACTTCTCTTGTCTAATGCACTTTTTATGAAAAGTAACAAGTCAGGGGTCCTTATTTCCCTACAACGATGGGATCATGAATGATGCTCACTCAAGCGAGGAAAAGTAAAGGCTGTAACATACAGATGGAGTTCTTCGGAAGGGGTGGAAGGGGGACAGGAGTGTGTGTGTGTGAAGAGAGGTGCAGGTGTCCTCAAGGGCAAGGTCTCTAAGAGCTTCAGAAATCCGATTCAAGCCCCACTTTGTAGACAAACACGTCCCTAACTGCGTCCACATCCTCTGAATGTCTACATTGAATTTCTATCCCAATAAATGCTTCCTAATTTGCGTGGTTATGGAAGTACACCCCGAAGCCGTGTGTCTTGTGTCCCAGGTGGAGCAGCCGTGGCCAGGCATGGAAAATGTCACCACAAACCCCCTCACATTGCTCAGAGCTGAGCTCACAGTAGGCAGTTAGACCAGCTGAATCAAAAAATAACACTTACTCCGTGGGCCTCGCCGGGCTGTCGCACTCAGGAGGCGAGTCTGGGGCTCCTCCTGGGCCGGCCCCTGCTGGCTGTCAGGGGGGGCTTCTTCGGACACCATTTTTTCTGGGCTAGGGGTTGGTGGCTGTGGGCAGAAGGTCAAAAGTTCAGAGACTTCGAGGGTTTCGGTGCAGATGGTGGGTCACCAATGAGGGGATGGGCCCGAGTGCTTCCCAGATCTAGACAACTGGAGTCCCTGTCACCTGAGTCACTGTGGACACCTCCCCCTGCCCAACCCCAAGTTTCTACAGGATGTTTCTTATGAAACCACTAAGGCATCCCAAAATAACTGGATAATTTCCCCTTTTTCTAAGGTAAAATGTGCAGAGCTCTACAGAAATTTGGAGGAAAGGGAAGCAGAAAGATCATAATCAATCTATTCTCAAACCCAAGTAGTGTGGGGACAGCAGCTAACGTGTCACTGGATGGTCCAGGTCAATACTGGTCCACTCTTCGGGTACATCTGAGAATAGTCTCTGGTTCCCTTCCCAACGTCTCAGAGGAGGAAAAAGTAACACCTGTTACTGGAGTTACTGCACAAGGGGGTGGCACGGGAAGAGAGGAAGACACCTTTGGGGCTAGGCTGACTCCTGCTTGCCTCCAGACTCAGCCTGGCTGTGGGGATTCGGGCAAGTTATTTAACTTGTGTGCACACTGCTGGTTCACCAAGATGCCTGTATGTAGGAGGCATTGTGCAAAGCACAGAGATTCTGATTTAAAAAGCTGGCCTGGGGTGGCCCCTATTAAGGGAATCTTTAACAAAACTATTCCTTAGGTGACCTTGTACTGTGCTGGAGTTAAGAAATGCTGAATGAAGTTTCTTGCAATGCCCCCAAAGAGACGATGCCTGTCAAGTTCCAAGCCCCGCCCATAAGTGCTGAGCAATGGAGGGTCATTCTGCTCGCTTCTCCAGCTTGCCCCTTCCTTCCTCCTCTGTCTAAGCTCCATGCTGTCTTTGGCCCTGGTCACCTGCTGCTCCCTGTGCCAGAGACCCTCCAGCTCAGGGCTTGACCCTTTCTATCTGCCGTCTTGGTGGCCCCCTGCCCTGGGTGCCCCAGAGGCACAAGGACCCTGCTGAAATGGGTGAAAGCTTCCCGATTGCATCTGGTCCGGGACTCTCCTGTCTCCAACAGTGGCTGGACAGACTGGCCCACGTGGCCAGGCAGTGCCTCTCCACCCACTGGGCGGCTCCATCCTGGCCTGCAAAAAAGGCTGAAGGCCACTCCTCTGCCCTCTCAGTCAGCAGGAGTGTGCTGGCCAAAGGGGGAGTTGAGGGGAGCTTTCTCCCCTGACTGGACTCTCCCTCCCTGCGCCCTCAGTTCTTCCTCTCTTCCCCAACCACCACCTTGTGCAGGCAGCCCCTTCACGTGACTGCAGGCTCAAAATGGCGCTCTCCCTCTTTCCCGCTGGCATCTCCAGTGTTCC